GATATCCCCAACATGATCTATTTCACTTGAAAACTTAAGCCAATATGACTAACAGGGAGGGAAGATGGGAAATAAACAGTTAATCCCTTTGCATGAGGACTGTGGATATGTTGACATTAGTGTTTAAAATCACATCACTCTTTCTAAGTGAGTCTCTGTCTTTCCTGTCTGCAGCATATCAGCTCATCACCGTGGTGATTGCAGCTGCAGGAGGGGGACTCCTGCTCATCATGGGCATAGCACTGATTGTCACCTGCTGCCGGTAGGTACCACCACCAGACCTGGCTCATCCATGGTATCCTCTCAGTGGATTACACCACACTTGCTGTGAACTCTGAAGGACCAAACGTAGGTGAAAACATAGCATAGCTAAGCAAGTGGGTTAATCAGAGATACTGAAGTATCCCATTCTGCTTTCATTTGGGGCATATCATTTTTTTACCCCAGCAGCCAGGCTAAACAGCTGAACTGGATGTCTCTGAAAGATACACCTAGAAATCATGTCCTCTAAGGATGGAGAGGCAAAGGAGTCCTTCTCATTCAGAGCTGTAAGGCTCTGAAGCCAGCGAGCAGTCTCCAAAAATGCAAGCTAAGCAGAAAGGAGAAGTTTAGACAACAGAAGAGGTTACTTGCCATTTCTCAAGTGGATTTTGAGTGTGTTTAAAGCTATTTTCATTTTCCTTTATGGACAAGTCCTGGATGTATTCTCACTCTGTGTCTCTCTCAGACACAGACATATACACATGTAGTTCCCATATCTGCAGGTAGCTTCTGACTAGAGGCAAGATGTGCTTGCCAAGGAACCTCTGCTTCATGATTTAAGTATTATGAAAAGGGTTGCCTTACAGTAACACCCTCTCCCTCCCATTCCAGTCCCCAAATCCAGGATTTCAAAGCTCTCTGATAAAGTTGGCAGATGGATTTAACAGTAATATAGACATGGCAGTGGTTTGATTGGCACAGTGCTGTGCCCCTGTTACCCTGTGTTTTGATCCAGCTGGATGCCAGCAAGCCCCAGCCAGGAGATGTGATGGCCAGCACAGCTCCATGCCCCAGAGTGTAAGTCTCTGCAGGGATGGACTGGTCTTCTCATGAGACTTGGCCTTTGGCAGCTTATGTGACTTCCTGGAGAGTACTCTGCGTCAAACTGGAAATGTTGCCAAAGTCCACTCATACAACATGGTAGCCATACAGGGTAGGGGCATGTAGTGTCATTCAGACTGACTCTTTGAAGGTCCTTCTTAGGAATTAACGTAGTGGTTAGAAGTGCTGCAATTAGTCACTTGGAGACTTACATAGCATGGGGGTTCTTCCTAGATTTCCATGTTTTTTCAAGGACTCAAATGAACACACACATTTTCAAGAGGCAATGGGCATAAACTGAAACAGTAGAGGCTCACACCTAGAGGTAGGGAAAATTCTTTCACCAACAGCACCATAAGGCAGTGGAAAAGATAGCTCAGACAGGTTATTCCATCTCCATCCTTGGAGATTTCAAATCTCACCAAATCTCCCTGAGTAGCATGATCTGACTTCAGATCAGAAGATTGGACTATAGTCCTTCTGAGGTGATCTATGTTCCCAGTCAAGGCTCATCACATGAAATAATGATCTCTCCTGAGATAATGTCAGAAGTGTGTACAAGATAGCAGGACAAGTGGTATGTTTTCATTTTCACTCATTCTTTTATAAACAGGAAGAATAAAAATGACATAAGTAAACTGATTTTCAAGAGTGGGGATTTCCAGATGTCACCTTACGCTGAATATCCGAAGAACCCTCGGGCACAAGAGTGGGGCAGAGAGACCATCGAGATGCAGGAGAATGGAAGCACCAAGAACCTGTTGCAGATGACAGATGTGTATTATTCGGTATCTATCCATGGCTTAACTATTAACCCTTTGTGCCTGATACAGGAAAGACATATTTCATTATTTTTGGAAGTACAGAACCCTTTCCTGCAAGATAAAAGGGCAAAGCAAATGTCTTCCATAGACAGCAAGGCTCTGAGAGTCCTACAGACTCTAGCTATTACACATGGTGAATATCACAAAGACATGGCATTAGGAAGAGCCTTAGGGAAATATCTGGGAACATTTTGGTAGGTGTCCAAAAACCCCAGTCTTAGAGTAGAGAAAGATCCCTGTAGATAGTTTCCTCCCATCCACCCTCACTGATGATGTGGAAGGTTGAGACCTCTGCCTGAGGAACTTCACCCCAAAATAGGAAGATGCTGGTCAACGAGGACCCCTCTTTTCTTCCATTCCTTCCCTCTCCTAGGTACATAGGGAGCATCCCTTCAGCTCTGAAAGAACAAGGAGTAATAGGTTGTGTAGGGCACAGAAAGACACGAGCACAAGACTCGCTGTCGTGGCTGGTACCATCTGCTAATTTCTGTATCCAGAGCTCTGATGCTGGTGTACCATCTGTCACTTATCTGCAGCAATGTGTACTTAAGGTGTGTGTGGGTTACTCACACGAGTGACAGTCACAGGATTTCACCCAAATCACATATTCTGGACTCCTGTTTTCCAGAGCAGAGAACAGAGAGCATTACCTTTTTTTCTGGCTTGTATTTTAAGTTTTCCATTAAGCAGGTTTAATGGATTGCACAGTACAAAGAGAAATAATCCCCCTTCCTGCTTCCACTAAGAATGAGATATTTGGAAATGAAAATGCGCTTCCTATACTTTTTTAAAGACTTTTATTATGCTGGCAACTAGAAAGGGGAACTTTTTAGCAAGCAGTAGATGATGAGGGCTTTGAATGAATCTGCTTTTTACCAGATCGAACCAAGTGACTTGATGTTATTTACTGGGTGAAAGGATTGTAGTCTTAGACATCATTGTTCCTCAAACAAGTGACCCCAGGAGATTTACTTAAATAAGAGAAGGGAAAAGAAAGGAAGGCCAGATCATTTTGTGTTTGACATATAATTTAAGGGCCTGTGTTGGGAGAGGAGGTACCTATGGTTAATGGGGAAAGAAGTGTTCCCAGGTAACACTCAAAGCAAGAGACTAACTTTGATTTTCTAGTAGTGTTTCTTTTAAGGATGGCTCTGGACAATATCCTACTCATAATAGTTATTTTGACACCTGAGCTCATCAGTAGAATTCTTTTGGATTAAAAATTAACTGTGTACTTAGACTTCACTTGGTGGAGTCAGGTAAACTTCAAGTCTGCTAATTGACCAGATGCTGAAATTAGATTTCATCAGAATAATCCCTTCAGGCAATATGTAACTCCCACAGTAAAAATCTTTCTAGGTTATAGAGATCATTAGCAATCATGTTGTTCCTTCTAGTTACTGAAATAACTGCTAGGAGAGGTGGTAAGGCTGTGCCTGAAGGAGGATTTGAGTGTGAGAATAAGACCCTTTTTATTTAATTTCTTTGCTAATACAGCCAACTGGACTGAGAAATCCTGAACTGGAAAGAAACGGACTTTATCCTCCCTACACTGGTTTGCCTGGATCTCGACATTCATGCATCTACCCTGGACAATACAATCCATCCTTCATTAGTGACGAAACCAGAAGAAGAGACTATTTTTAGCAGAGAGTGGAGAGGGAGTGGAAGACTGAGACAGTTTTGTGGCCCTTGATCCCCAGGTACAATGTCTCCTGGGTAGTTCAGGCCACATCAGTCTTACTCTTCCCATTTAACAGGAAGGACTTTGAACTTCATGCGGAGCATTGCTGCCCCGAAGGCTGGTTACATTTGCTGAGGAGGAGGAGGAGGGAATGGCTCAAGGTGCACATCACTATAAGACCCAGATGGAAGCTAACACATATACTCCATATTCATTCTGTGCTGCTTCTTCACTCTTTACGCTACATGGCAAGCCTGGAGCAGTACAGGCAGATGAACTGTGCCCAGCACTCTGCATTGAATACCACTAGGGAGTGTTTTGTTTACAGATCTCATTCTCTGTTGCCTGTGCTTGTCATCTTAGCCAGCCTTCATACAAAGATTCACTGTGCAACTGCTTTTGGTAGGGCAAGTTTTTGCACTCACTCTTACATTGCTGCATTTCTATGCTTTGTACATGACAGGGAAGCTGGCGTATCTTTTGGCCCCCACCTTCTTACTGATAGAAGTTCTCCACATGGTTGGGTCCTTGCTGAAGCCAAGTGTTTGGCAAAATTGCCTGAATTCATGGGTTGATTGTCTTCAAGGAGTACAGGAAGGTTAGTTATACCACTGCAATTTTAACTGAAAAAAGACACAGTTGATCCCATGTGCTGCTTTGAAAACCTTATATATATAGGGAAAAGTCTGAGTATGTTGTTGTTTTGTCAATCAGTGTTGTTCAGAAGTGATGCCACTACATGCCATCCTAGCACTTCCATATAGGGTCTTATGGGGCTGTTTCCCCTCAGGGATTTCAATGCCTGTAGAAACAGCAATATAGTATTAAATATTAGCTCACAGGGAAAAAAAAAGATGAGCTGGGAATTCAGCATGCTCTTTGTGAGGAATCTGTGAAGGAGCAATAATGTGGTAGCCCTGGCTGGGCAGAGAAACCTGAATTCTGGGCACTGAAGGTGGGGCATAATGTTTTTAAACCTCCACAGTGCACCTTGACTTCTATAGGAGATGTGGAGGCTTTCAGTACATTAGAAAATAAGGCTCACTGCAGTCAGTTGCATTAAAGGGGGAGAAAAAACGTGATCCTAGCATAGCAAAGATTACTTACGTTGAAGTGTTTTGCTTTCTTCCATCCTAGTTTCGAATAATTCAGACCAGGCAGGTTTCCCCCTGTAGGTGTGTTAATTCATATTAGCAAAAGCTAAAGAATGTAAGTCATTGCATTTCTCGCCAAAGATCAGACTGCAAGCTCATGGACTGTATTCTGACCTGAACTGGGTGTTGAAAGAAATCTTATCAATCATAGAATCCTAGAATGGTTTGGGTTGGAAGAGATCTTAAAGACCATCTACTTCCAGCGCCCTGCCATGGGCAGGGACACATTCCACTAGATCAGGTTGCTCAAAGCCCCACCCAGCCTGGCCTTGAATACTCGCATGGATGGAGTAACTTCTCCGAACAACCTGTTCCGGTGCCTTACCACCTTCATAGTGAAGAATTTTTCCTTATAGCTAATATAAATATATCTGCCAGTGTAAGATCATTCCCCCTTGTCCTATTGCTACATGCCCTAGTGAAAAGTCCCTCTCCAGCATTCCTGTAGCCCCCTTAAAGTGCTGGAAGGCTACTCTAGGGTCTCACAGGAGTTGTCTCTTCTCCAGGCTGAACAGCCCCAACTCTTTCAGCCTGTCTTCATAGCAGAAATGCTCCAGCCCTTTGATCATCTTTGTGACCTCCTCTGGACTTGCCCCAGGTCCACATCCTTCTTGTGTTGGGGGTCCCAGAGCTGGATGCAGCACTCCAGGTAGGGTCTCATGAGAGCAGAGTAGAGGGGCAGAATAACCTGCTGGAAGTGCAGCTTTTGATGTTGCCCAGGACACAGTTGGCTTTCTGGGCTGTGAGCACACATTGCTAGATCATGCTGAGTTTCTGGTCAACCAACACCCCAAGTCCTTCTCCTCAGGGCTGCTCTCAGTCCATTCTCTCTCAGCCCGTATTTGTGCTTGGGATTGCCCTGACTCACATGCAGGAAATATAATGAAGTATATTTTACCACTTGTCTTTAGTGCACTGTTTATCTGAGTCATCCAAACCCTGTCCAGACACAGTATCCAGATGCAGATCCTTCCCCCAGTTGTGACTGTGCTTTGAATTCTAGGTGGCTGTTTATATGAGGGTAACAAATAACAATTCCTTAGCCATTAACCCACCATCTCTGTAGTGCATACATAAGTTTATATTCCCTTCTCCCCCACCAGGCTTTAAAAGACACAGAGCCTACAAGTAAGTTCATAAGGTAGCTCAGCTCGCTGAAGTGTTAAGGATCGTGGGGTGTGTCCCCCAAAGTGCCTAACCCCAAGTAAGGACTGATGCTGATGTGTCTTGTGGCCTCTCACTGGAGGCAAACCTGATGTGATGTAGCTGTCCATCAGAGGGCAGGTACTTGCATCCTACAGGTGGTGTGTGTTCCAAGGTCCTTTCCCAGCACTTGAAAGGCCATTATGTTCCTTATCAAAAGTGAGTGACAGGTACCCAGAGGAAGAGGAGGTGGCACCAGGCAGTTATTAGCTGTGTTGTCTGAGAGGTTTCTTATCCCTGCTCACAGTTGCTTGTTTTCTCAAAACTGCAAGGCAGGAAAGGCACCGCAGATGTGCTTGAGAAGACTTCATCTCTTATCTACTATGTAGGTATCTTATCTAATATGTAGCAGTGTGACCTTGCAGAAAAACAGAGCTTAATGGATGCCTGGGGCAGTAATCTTTGTACTTACATGTACTTATGGTGACAATACAAGCAACTTCATGCATGTCTGGTCCATAATCAGCATTGTAGGTAGTAGTGCACAGCTTATCTCAGCTGTAGGCAGGAAAGGAATGGATGCTTATGGGAAGTACAGCTGCCTAAGGAGCTATGTTTAAAGAAAACTGTGGTTACAGTATCCAAAATACTGTAAGAGGTAAAGCACAAGAGCTAGCTGTTCCCTGCCACACTGATCAGTGTTTCCAGTCCACAAATGATGTTCTTCTCCCTTTCCTTAGCACCTGATCTCTTAATTGCACAGGATCCATTGGCTGATGAGCAATAAGGACTTTGCTGTGCTGTGAGATCTTTCAAAGAGGGCATTGGCAGGGTCATTTCTGTGCAGGTGGGTTGCCTCCAGTTTTGAGAGTGCCCAGGACAGAAAGAACAGCCTTTCCAGTGGTATGGAGGAGGATTTTGTCTGTGTTAGAAAAGAAAAGGGGAAGCTGGTATTCATGCTAAATCTAAATCTAAAGTATACAATCACTGGACTTTGTCCCTGATTACTAATGCAGTTTGTCAAAAAGTGTCTCAGCAATGATGGGAAAGCAATGATTTAACCATGTGCCAGCATTTTCTCGGACGGGGAACCAGCTAGGCACATGTTTATAGGCAAAGATATTTAATTGTTTATATAGTTTATAGTCTGGGAGACACACTCACATGTGTCAAGTACAAAGGGTAAAGTAGGAAATACCAACTCACAACTGCAGATCTGTCCTATACAGAGTAATATAGACTATGTGAACAAAACTCCTGGTCTCTATCTCACAGCACATTGCAAGTGGAATTGAGATAAGACTATTTCTAATTGAGAGCACCCAAAAGTTTGCAATTAATTAATTTTAATTTCTTAATGATCTTTGAATACTTCTTAAAGCTGTATCTGGCGACAAAGGGTCTCAGTAAATCCAGCAGGATTTTCTGAGTGAGGGCTGCAAAACTTGGCCTTTTCCAAAATAGTGAATGTTACTGCACTGAAAGCTTCTCTCTGCCAAAGGAGATAAACATTGGGACATTTCTTATGGGAATTTATCCGTTGCAGCCTGACCTTCTATTTAGCTTTGGTGAGAAGGGGTCACAAGACCACTGCGTAGTCCACAGGAGAAGGAAAAAGGTCTCTCCTGACCAGCAGGGTTTTCCCTGAGTGTCCTAGGAGGCCCCACTCAGTGGGCAGGAAAGGGTTTACGCAGGAGTAGTCAGCACCTGGGTGAGTGCAGGTGCTTTCCCACACAGTGATTCAGGAGGTCTTCAGGGAGGTGACAGATGCAGCCTGGGGTAATTCAGCCCTTGGGTCTCCACCAGCCCAGCTGCAACCTGTGCTGAGATGCTTCCGTCTTCACCCAAGCACCACCGCTCCCAAGTCCGCTAGGACACAAAGGGTGGGTGCAGTGCACTGTGTTTTGTCACAGTTTATGATGGTTATTTTAGTGCAAATGTTTATCACCACTCTCCAGCAGTATGGGCTTGCTCAGCCACGTCAGGGGTGTGGTCTGGTTCAGTTTGCCTCTGTGTAAAGCTGCCACTGCAATCCTCTCTGTGTGTCTGCCATAAATTAGGCATCCCCTGGCAGTGGAGTGGGTCTTGTTGCTCCTGCTGGATATAAGAAGGGGCTGCATGTGCCCTTAAGCCTACTTTCAAATGCAGATGCTTTGCTGTTCACTACCTAACTCCCTATAAGATGTCTAAATACATGTAGCTTATTTCTCAGACTGTTTAGATTACCCCTAGCTACCCCAAAATACAATTTTTTGAGCACACTGGATGTTTTTTTGCCAAGGGAAATTGCTTTTCACTATCTAAGAGGATAAGGTTGAATTGGCATGTTTTCTATAAGGAAGATGCAAGTGCTTCAGACAGATGTGGGGAAAGGAAGAAAAAGCTACACCCACGCTGCACATAAATCTGCTATTGCTCCTGGCTACGGTGGAAAGCTAGGGGGGCAGTCAGCAAGGGCCCATGGGCAGTTGTGTGGGTGTAGTTTTAATTAATTTGGGGAAAAAAGGCTAATTCTGTTGCTTGATGGGAAAAACTGTAAGAGGCATGTGTTTGCTGCTGTTGTGCCCTGCCAATTGTACTGACAAAAGCCCCTCAGGTACAGGAATACCCTTGACAGTCAGCAGAGAAGAGGCAGTCCCAGTGAACAGATCAGCAAAATGCAGATT